GAGTAGCAGTCCCTTCAAGTCTAAAGGATGGCACCAGAAAAATGTCTGACCAGAAAAACACAAAACAAAACAAAACAAAAAAAATGATGGGCCAATCACGTACCAAGAATGAGAAACAACCAATGGACTGTCCACATGTTCCTTTGTTAGCCATTCAGTGTTAAGAGAATTCAAGGAAATCCCCCAATGCACTGATTGATGAATTTATTAGCGCACACAGACAAGAGTCACACCAGAAAGCCAGCAGGCGTGGTTGGGTTGCAAGTGCACCATTGGAAGGAATACCTATCTTGATGGTATCATCATCGGAATACTTGCAATCAATCAAACACCAATCATTTATTAAGCATCTGCTATGTGCCAGGACTGTGCTAGGCTCTGGGGATACAGATACAAAAAAAAAATTTCTACTTACAAGGAATTTGCATCCTAATGGGGGACATAACCAGTTTACATGTAAATATGGACATACGAAATTCAAAGTAGTTAAATACAAGGTAGTTTGGGAGGGAGGTTATTAGTAGTTGATCTGACAAAGAAAGGCTTCATGTAGAAGATGGTGCTTGACCTGCTTCTGTAAGGAAGAGAGAGAAGTGATTGAAGGGAGGTAACAGTGATGAGGAATTGAATTTCGGGCACAGGAAAAGTATGGTGCAAGGTATAGAAACAGGAGATGTCATGGAGTGTCCTGTGAGAGGAACAGAGAGAAGGCCGGGTTGTATGGACTGGCACGAATGAAGGAAAGGAATGTTCAAGGAGGCTAGAAAGATAGATTGGGGCTAGATTATAAAGGATTTAAAACACTAACTGGAAGAATTTATGTTTTATTCTAGAGGCCATAGCGAGCCACTGGCATACATAAGGGACAAGGTCAGCTCTGTTTTTAAGAGAAATCCCTTCAGAAGCAATGTGTAAGTTGGACTGGATTGTGGAGAGACATCAAATAGGGAGGCCAGTTTGGGGGTTGTTGCAATAATCTGGGCAAGAGGTGATGAGGGTGGTAGCCACTGATGTAGAGAGAAGGGCTCAGATCTGAGAGGTGTTGTGGAGGTAGAAATGGCAGAATTTAGCAATTGATTGGGGTAGGAGAATGAAGAATCAAGGATAATGTTGAAGTTACAGACCTGAGAGGCCTGAAAAATGATGGTGCCTCAAATGGGGATGTTTGGGGGAAAAGTAAGGTTGGAGGAAGGGGGAAGATAATTGGGACATGTGGAGTTTGAGTTGTATCTGATGCATTTAGTCTGACCTGTTTTTGTGTTGTTCAGTCATGTCTGACTCTATGTGAAGGTCCGTGGGGTTTTCTTGGCAAAGATACTAGAGTTATTTGCCATTTCCTTCTCCAGTGTGTCCTCATTTTACAGATGAGGAACTAAAACAAATAGGGGTTAAGTGACTTGCCCAGGGTAATACAACTAAGTGTCTGAGGGTGGATTTGAACTCAGATCATCCTGACTCCAAGCCGAGTGCTCTATCCACTACACCAACCAGCTATCTCTAGTTTGACATGCACCAATGTACCAATACCAAGCAGTGGCTCATTTGGGGCTGATGCTCAGGGAAGAGACTGGAGCTAAACGTATAAATCTGTGAGACTTTTGTGGATGTGTGGAGATGAAGCCTGGCAGCTGCTCCTACAAGGTGCTATGGTCACAACCACTGAAGACCAAGAGTCTTGTCACCTAAGTCTTTGGCACTGACCAAATCGTTCAACATCAGAAATTGATGTGATTTTATCAGTGGAAAGAAGAAGCATTAATATTTGCTTTGCTATTACACTCTAAAACTATGAGACTTTCCCATATAACTTTGCAGCTGAAATCTTGCATATGTGCTACTGATCCCATTGAAATGGGAGGTCCTTGAGACTTACTTCTCTATTTGTACCCCGAAGGCTTAGTACAGTGCTTTGCACATAGTAAGCACTTAATAAATGCTTTATTCTCCATAGAACTGATAATTAAACCCTTGGGAGCTAATGAAGTTACTGAGAGAGAACGTATGTAGAGAAATGAGAGGAGAGGGCCTAGAAGAGAGAACCTTGAAGTATACCCACAATTAGAGGAAGCAATGTGTATGGTGAACCAGGAAAAGAGATGTAGAAATAGTCAGGGAGGAAAGAGGAAAACGAGGAGAAAGAAGAAAGAGTAAAAAAAAAAAATTAGCCAGGAGAGAGTATCTTGGAGGAGAAGGTGGTCAACAAAATCAAATGCAGCAGATAGGCTGAGAAGTCTAAGGACTTAGAACAGATCATCAGATTAAACAATTAAGAAATTATTGGTAGTTTTGGAGAGAGCAATTTCAGTTAAGTGATGAGGTCAGAAGCCAGGTAGTAAAGGGTTGAGGAGTGAGTGAGAGGAGACAAAGTGAAGGCAGTGAGTGTAAACACCTTTTTCTAGGATTTTTGCAAAAAGGGGGAAGGGAAATATAGAACAGCAGCTTGTGTGGATGATCAAATCTACTGAAAGATTTTTAAGAATTGGGGACACTTGAGCATAATTGAAGGCTATAGAGAAGGAGCCAATAGATAGGAATGGGTTGAAGATAAGGAGAGGGGGGATGATCGAGGTTGCAATCTTCTGGAGAATATGGGAGGGGATAGGATCAAGGGCATAACTTGAATTGGTCTTGGCACAGAGAAGGGCCACCTCATTGTCGGAGACTAGGGAAAAGGAGGCAGGAGTTGGGGATGATGTCGAAAGACTTATGGAATAATGAGAATGGGAGAAGAGGGAACTTAAGTTAAATAGGCTCAATTTTCTCAAGTAAGAAGCAAGATCTTGAGAGAGGGAAAGGGAAGGGAGAAGCATGAGACTCAGTGCAGAAAGAGAAGTTTGAGAATGGCTTCTGCAGGGAATGAGATAGGGAGTAAATTAGGTAGGAATAAAAGGACTGCCTTGCTGCAGTGAGGACCCAGGTGAAGTTGGGTAGCATGAATTTATAATGTACCTAGTCAACATGATTGTGTGACTTTCTCTAGCTTCAGCAGCATGTGAATAGGAGCCATAGAGGTGAATGGAGTCATTCAGGGCTGAGGTTTGGCAAGAGATGAGCAGCACTAGGACAAGGTGTGAGGATTCAAGGGCAGAGGATAGTATAATGTTGAAATTGCTAGCCATAGTATTTTTGGGGGGGGGGGGGTTAGGCAATGGGGTTAAGTGACTTGCCCAGGGTCACACAGCTAGTAAGTGTTATGTGTCTGAGGCCGGATTTGAACTCAGGTCTTCCCGAATCCAGGGCCAGTGCTCTATCCACTGCACCACCTAGCTGCCCCCTACTTGCTCTAATATTGAGATTGAGAGGGGGAAAGTGAAGTCAGAGCAGGAGTATTGGCCTGAAAAAGTACTGAGGGGTGGAGGGATTGGAAGTCTTGATGAAAGAAAAGGATTTAGGAGTGTGAGATGGAATTTTAAGAAGAGATGGTAACCTCTAAGAGAAGAATGTTATACTTTCTAATTAAGGAAGTGGAATATATGTGGATAATGGTAAGCTCCAGAGTGTGACCACCCACATGTGTGGCTGAGGTGGAATGAAGGACTAGGTCATGGGATTTAAGAGGCTGAGTGTTAATAAGCATGACACTGATGCCAGCACCCTCTTAGTTCAGGTTCAATGTTCGAATGAGATGAAATGCTTGACAGTCACTGAACATTTAACAAAGGAGGAGGTTTACTTTGCCCTAACACAGCTAGACTATGCAACAAGGATATGGTACCACTTAGCTTCTCCAGATATATCCCCTCATCTCCATCTTGAAATTCATCTGGTCAGTAAGTCATCAGAGTATGATGACTTGTGTGATCTCAGGCACCCCAAAAATCCGAGAGGCCCCACCTATGTGCAGCTGGGACTTTTTATGCACTCAGGTCTCAGTGAGGGCTACTAGATGGAAGGAGTGTGAGGGAAAGCGCTCTATGATGAATGGAAGTTTGTTCACTATGGAACAGGAGTTCCAGAGGGCACAGTGGAAAAGGTGGGATAGAGATGAGGTAGGGTAGATGAAAAGGATGGGAATGAAAGAATGGGAGATGAAGATAGACAGTAGTTTGATTTGCAGGGACTGCAGTCAATTAATACAGGAATAGGTAAAGAAATGAGGTGGAAGATTGTCAGCCATAACAATAATAGTCAATGACTGATGAATAGTAGAGGTCACAGTTTCCAAGAAGTTGGGTTGTTCTGAGGCTCAAATGAGGCAGTATATTGTAAAGCACTTTGCAAATCTTGAAGCACTATGTAAATGGCAGTTATTTTTGTTGTTGTTATTATCCATTTTATGCATGAGGAAACTGAGGCCCAAAGAAATCAAGTGACTTGCTCTAGGTTAATAAGTGGCAAAAAGCCTGGATTTGAGCCTAGGTCCACTGACTCTAAATCCAGTAATATTCTTTCCATTAACTTTTTTTGGGGGGGGAGGATTGGCAATGGGGTTAAGTGACTTGTCCAGGGTCACACAACTAGTAAGTGTTAAGTGTCCGAGGCCACATTTGAACTCAGGTCCTCCTGACTCCAGGGCCAGTGCTCTATCCAATGTGCCACCTAGCTGCCCCTCCATTTACCTTTTTACAAGCTTTCATACCTGTCTCATTAGTCCTCCCGGAACCTTGGGATATAGGTAGGGCAAATATGATCATTTTCATTTTGCAGGGAAGTTCAGAGGAGTTAAATGACTTTCCCAGATTATCCCATCTAGTCAGTGCTGGAGCCAAGATGCAGTCTCAGGACTCTTCTGCCTTAATTAAAACTCACTGCTCTTTCCATGACTCTACACTACCTTTTCATAGAACTCCATGATGAGGTAGACATTCATGGCTGGCAGACTTGTGTTCTTGTTGTACTTTTCTTGGACTTCAGGGTCAGTTAACTATACCATGTTTCCATCTTCAAGTCCTAAATGAAAAGAAATCATTCAGTCCAAATAGCCAGTTAATCTTGTAGTTTTAAGTGCCAAATCAGCTTTGTCAATGTCCATCATTTGTTTTTCTCCTTTTTCATAACAGGGGGCAAGGACACCATAACTTTCAATGATTCCACTCTTCCGGTCATACAGAGGTCAAGATCCCCACTGCTGAAATTCATAGATCAGCGAGAAGAAAACAAAACATATACCAAGGATGGTGAGTACACACTGATCTCTACCTTCCCTGAACTCCTCTTATAACTCATGGACTGTACCACTCATCTTGGTTCACTTATTGTCTTATGAAACCTAAAGGCTTCACATGTGTAAGTTATTGGGAACCAAGAGGATTATAGCTAGGGGTGGGAGGTAGACAGCACTTTCCTGGTCTGGTTCTCTTCTTACATCTTTGACTGATCTTCTGTCTCTTCTGCTGGGTCCTTTCCCCCGTAAATGTTGCCCCCAAATTCTCTCCTCAGCTCTCTGTTTAGTTTTCTGTCTCAGAGATCCCATTTGCTCCTATGACTTTGTTTCTCCTTGATGTGGATACTTCTAAGTCTGTATTTCTACCTCAGATCTTTCTCCCAACTTTAGCCCTTCGTTTCTTGTCTTTTGGACATCTCTATCTGGGTATCCCACTTGGCCCATCAGACTTCGCCTCTTAAATTTCCATTTTGATATCTCTGCCCTGGATCCAAATATTCCCTTAGACTTTCTTCTTTTTGCCAGTGGTACCACTCCACCCTTCTCAGTGTTACTTCCCTGTCACAAAGCCCTAATCTAATTGGCCACATCTTATTACTTCCAACCTTTCTGTTTAAGTTAATGACATGATTTCTGTCAGCAGAAATGCCCTCTTCATCTTCTCTTGATGAAATCTTCCCTTCTCTGAATGCCTTCAGTTCAAATATTACCTCCTCCTCAAAGTCTTCCTTGTTCACCTTCATTAGAAATGATCACCTTCCTAAATTCCTAAAGCATTTTACTTATATGGCTTTGGTCTTCTGAGCCTTGTAGTATAGCTGTTTGTTTATGGTGGCAGCAATAATAATAACGATAACATGTGTAGTGCTTTAAGGTTTACAAACCTCACAATAACTGAGTAAGGTTGAAAGGACAAATATTATTATTCTCATTTTACAGATGAGGAAACTGATATCAGAGAGGTCAAATTATTTTTCTGTAATCTCACAACTAGTGTGAGAGCCAAGACTCAAACCTTGTTGGCCTGATTCTAGATCCAAGCCTCTCACTACCACACCATACTGCCATCACACAGTACACTGTATAACACGCATGCAATAAATATTGGATGGATGGATGGATGAATGGATGGATGGATGGATGGATGGATGGATGGGTGAATGAATGAATGAACTGGAAGGTCTTCAAGGATAGGGACTGGATCTTACCCCTTTGTATCTCCCAGAATACCTACCACAGTAGAACTAGTGGATGCAGAGTAGGCCCTCAATAAATACTTATTGAATTGAATCAAGTATCTTGAATAGAGAGGAAAGTGCTCTGGATCCTCACTTAGCCTCCTATTTTTAGACCTGGTTCATTGTTCCAAAAGCATTAAGTTTGTGAGGCACAAGATTGAGACATAAATGTATGATTTACTCGATCGTTACAGGAATGAATTAGTCTATCCCCTTGCACTTAGTTTTTTAAAAAAAGCTATTCAATGTGGCTTTGTAAGATTGTGTGTGTGTGTGTGTGTGTGTGTGTGTGTGACCATGTGATCGTGTGACTGTGTGACCATGTGATCTGAACATCAGGAAGAAGAGCATGGAAAGCAGGATGTTTGGCAAGTCATTTAATTGCCATGGTTCTTAGTTTTCTTATCTGTAAAATGAGGGGCTTGGACCAGTTGGCCTTGAAGGTCTCTTTTAGCTCCGAGTCTATGAATGTCCGTGTGGCTGAGAATATGGGAAAAAGTTTAGCTAATTACAGACCAGGGAATTTCAGAGGTAGTCTTCACCCGGGCTGTCATTATCCTCCCCACCAACTCCCTGTCTTCCTTGAGGCCTATGATTTGAAAGATTAGCCTGACCAACTGTGTAGTCCAGGGGTGGAGAACCTGCAGCTTTGAGGTCACATGTGGCCCTCTAGGTCCTCAAATGTGGCCCTTTGACTGAATCGAAACTTCACAGAACAAATCCCCTTGATAAAAGGATTTGTTCTATAAAACTTAAAAGTCGGTCAAAAGACTGCACTTGAGGACCTAGAAGGCCACACGTGGCCTCGAGGCCGCAGGTTCTGTACCTCTGGTATAGTGATAAAAGGAGGGTCCCTGGGCACCTGGAAAAGCAAAAGCTAAACTAGCTTTCTGTGTCCCTCACTCAGCCCCCACATCCCATCTCCACGCTTTTGTATGGGCTGTCTATGTCTAGAATGCACTTCCCCGCTTTGTATTTGTCTCATAGATTTCCTCATTTTTTTCAAGACACAAATCAAGAACCACCTGCTAGTACCCTTCCCTTCCTGACTACCTTCTATTTGTTTTATATTTTTGTGTATATATTTATCCCGTAAATACTTTAAATGAATACATGTTATACACTCTGAGCTCCTTCAGAGCAGAGATTACTTCATCTTATTGTCTTTTATCATTCTTTTGTCTTGTCCTCAATGCTAGACTGGAGTGCCTGCCACTTAGTAGGTGCTTAATAAGTGCTTATTGATTGATGGATGGATGTCTTCGTAAAGTAGCATCCATCATCCGTGTCAAGAGCTGCCTCCTCTCTCTTTGTACTCTTCCCCAGTCAGAAGCTCTGAGATGGGGCCTCGGAAGCTGAAATGTAAAAGCTGAGTGCCTGGCATTATTTTCACAAGGGAGGCTTAAGTAATCATCTGATTCCAAATGAGAGCTTCTAAAGCTCCATCATTAGCCCTCATTGTTCCAGAACCCATCCATTGTGGCTGGTCATGGTAACAAGCACACTGTTCTGTCAGCTTGTGTGTGTGATTAAATGAAACCAGAAGCAAATCTCGCCCATTTTGTGGGACAAAGTCCAAGAAAGACCAGTAAACAAAAGAGGATAACTGTCCCTTTCTGGTCACTGGAAAGAATGGGCAATCCAGATCCTAGCAGGCTGAGTGCTTCTGCCTCTGGGGTTTTCAGAGCATGAGTCTCCTTTTTCCTTTTCACTTTCTATGATCTACTTTCTTGATAGCACTTGATTGTATCGTCATTAGTTGTATTAGCATTATGTGTATTGTTATTAATAATTATTAATGATCATAATTCCCTGCATTATTGCTAATAATACACATCATAATTACTATTATTAACAATAATGTGTTTTTCCATTGTTGGCCAGCTTAGAAATTCTCTCTCATGGAAGCAGCGATTTGTGCTTTTTTTAAACAAAAAAGAAAAAAAGAAAATTCCAAAGCTTAGGAAGGACCAAGCTTCCAAAGTTACTGAATTACTGGACAGTTTTATTAGTCTCTGCAAATAAGCCAAGCTGCTTTACTGTATCTCAGTCACTGTACAATTTCTAGTGCCTTTCTTTTTGTCTTACCCCAGATTAAGGACTTGAAAATACATTTTGGGGATTTCTACAATGACAAAAGAAAGGGTCCCAAATTGTCTTTATGCATACCTCCCTGCTGCTGGGGTGTCATTTCTGCCCAGGACTGATCCGTTGTTCTGAGGACATCACTGGGATCATGAGGTTTTAAGAATCTTCTACTTGGGCCATGCAGGGTTAATGTGGAAGGCTGGCTTTTGATCACAATAGGTTGAATCTTCACTGGGGCCCAAAGATGGGGTTGGGGTGGGTGCTCACTCCCCAAGAACGACTTTCTTTTGACCTTCTCTTAGGGCTGCGGCACTTCCCAGAAAGAAAAATTGCTCTACGTGGCGATCTCAAGGGCTTGCCATTTTAAGGAGATGCATCCAACTCAATACAGAGGAGAGCAAGTCTGGAAAGATGGCACCAGGAGAACAGCAGGGACCAAAGGGCCTAAGTGTCATTTAGACCACCCTGACTCAGATGTAAATTAAGAAGAGAAGATTAATCTGACACACAGTAAAAACACATTGTAAACGGTTTAGGGGTTAGGCTTTAACTTGTAAGGTTAATTAATTTTTCCAGGGCACTGGGATATACTATTAAGTGTCCTAGAAGAAGTAATTTCAGAAAAGTAATTTCCAGGAGGAGTTTATTCACCCCGCGTTAGTGAAAAGTTTAACCTCAGAAAGTACCATAATTTACTCCCGGCAAATGAGGCTGCCCAGATGGTACCCAAACTCTCTCACTTTTCCCCAAAGTCACTGTTTTCTTTGGTTCTCTGCAGTGTCGTTGAGAGATTTTTGTTTTTAGGTGTGAAAAACAACAACAACAACAACTAAGTAGAGGTCCCCATTTCCCCCCAAATCTGACACACGTAAAATCTTAATATAGCTTATAATCAGTGTCCTTTTCCTGTAGACACACACACACATGCATATACTCATGTGCATGTGCACACACATGCATCTTCCTTTCAAGGAGATCCTATTTTAAGGGTGAACTTATATTCAAGCCAGGTTGGCACATGATCCCACCCCTCCCTTACCATAGGTGGATTTTTGTACAAGTTAGGGCTCAGCTCTTTATCCAGCAGCATCCTTGCCAGGAATTCTGTGGAAGAAACTTGGATTTTCCTTGGACAGATGGTCCTAAGTCAGCATGAAGCCCTGAATTACAGAAGAGGAAGAGTGTAAGGGGTAATCTTTCCTAGAGGAGGAGAATTCATGGCCCCATTCTTCACAAAGAGCTTCCATTTATGCATAGAAAACCTTCTACCCATTAGTAAGTTTAAATTCACTCCCAGGTTGAACCTTGTCCTTTCAACTCAGTTCAACAAGTATCAGTGAAGTGCCGACAAAGTGCAAGGCGTTAGGGATACACAAATGAAAAAAGTGACTCCTTGCTTTCCTGGGAAGTTGTGGGAGAGGGTGGGTTATCACCCAGATACAAATATGATTCAAAATTGAATGTGATAGGGTAAAAGAAAGGTCCAGGCAAGGGGCAGCTAGGTGGCACAGTGGATAGAGCACTGGCCCTGGATTCGGGAAGACCTGAGTTCAAATCCGGCCTTAGACACATAACACTAGCTGTGTGACCCTGGGCAAGTCACTTAACCCCAATTGCCTAAAAAGAAAGAAAGAAAGAAAGGTCCAGGCAAAGTGCTCTAGGAAAATTCACTTTTAGAATGCAACATGGACTCATACAGTCCTCTGTATATACTGTCCTCTGGCGACAGCTAGTCCATTTCCTTCGTTTTATGGAGTAGCAAACGCAGGGCTCAGGAAATTAAAGTGACTTGCCTACCAGCATCCATAGCACAGGGAGTAAGTCCCATTGTCCAATCTGAACCCATGTTCTTTGACTCCAAACCCAGGGCCTTTTTCGCTATAGCATGCTATCTTGAATCTCTTTTTAGCGTTAGTGGAGATAAAAACAGAATCCTTTCTGAAGGGATAATATCTAACCATATTATATCAGTATTTTACCATTTATTCTTGTTTTGTGGTGGATAGGAATCAATTTGAGTGTACTATTTCTCTGTCTATGTAATAATAATGCTAATACTGTGGAGTTCATGGTGATTGTCAATCTAGAAGTCCACTTAGAATTGTAGGATCATATGCCAGTAGAAGCTAATATTAATGTAAGGTTGTCAAGAACTTTACATTTATCTCCAATCAACAAGCATTTGTTAATTGCCTGCTCTGTGCCAGACACTGGGGATGAAAGTGCAAAGAAGGAAGCAATTTCTCCTTGCAAGGAACTCTTACAACAGCCCTGTGATTGTACTGCAATTATCCTCATTTTACAGACAAGATAACTGAGGCCCAGGGAAGTTATAAATGACTTTTCCATGATCACAAAGCAAGTTTGAGGCAGGGTTTGAACCCAAGTCTTTCTGACTCCGAGTCCTGTATGCTCTCCATTACTGAGAATTAACCTTAGAGGTTATCTAGCCATTCAGTCATAGATTTAGAGCTGGAAGGGGTATTAGAGGATTATCTAGTCCTTCCCCCTCATTTTATAGATAAAAGTGATGAGTCTCTGAGAAAGGGAAAGAGACTTGCCCAAAGTCACCTAGGCAAAGATGTGAGATTAGAGTTTGGATAGAAGTTTGCACCGTTAGAGGACACCATTTTGACTCATATGAACACATTGGTTAATCACAAGGCACCTACAGGGCCTCCTTAGTTCATTCTAATGCCTTGTCACTGTTTGGCCTTAGGATTAAAAACAAAAATCAGCTCTGAAGAAAATGGAAGATCTCCTGTTAAATGCCAGGCCCAGCTAAGAAAAGTAATTTCATTGTAATGCAATTTTTTATTGTTTAAATGTTTCATTAATGTGTTCTGGATTTTTTGTTTGTTTGTTTTGCAACTCAGTCACATCCTAATAACCTCTTGTTAAAAGAAAGGAAAACAATTAAGTATAATCAACTAGCATAGCAGTGACATCTGACTGCTTTGGGCAATATTTCACACCTGTAATCCACCACTTGTTTACATGAAGAAAGAAGGCATGTTTCATCATTGGCCTTCTTGAACCAAGATTAGCCATCATGTTTAATCATAATTTTCATGTTTTTAGTGTTAGTTTCACTTATATTGTTGCATATCATTCTCCTTACTTTGCTTTCTTTGCTCTGTATCAGTTCATACAGCTCTTTCAATATTTCTCTGATTTTGTCATGGTCATTATCAGCCATGGCATAGTGGCTACAGAACCTGCCTCAGAGTTAGGAAAAGCTGGGTTTGGATGCTACTTTTAACACATGCTGAACACATATTGAATTCATGTCTTGCTTCTGATAGCCTACATGGGTAGAAAGAATTTCCTCACCTGAAAATTATCTGTATCAATGAAATCACCACTCCTACCTCCATCCAATCCCTATCCCCATTTTTTCTTATGGAGCAATGATAATCTATTAGATTCATATGCTGCGTTTCTAGTTTGTGTGTGTGTTTGCTATAGTCCATTTAAAAATATTTATTACATCAGGGTATACCAAGAAGAAAAAATAATATAGCTCCTGACCTCAAGGAGTTTTCTGTCTAGTGGGAAGCCTTTTTTTTCAATGGGCAGAGTGGGGGGTAGGGCAGCACAGGGGCTTAGGGAAGGCTTCTGGGGTAAGTAGGAAAGAATATTAGACATTTATATGGGTAGTTGTAATAGAAAATGATTAACGATATAGGAGTGATGAGTCATAATGGCATGAGAGGTTCAAGAAGAGAGAGACCGTTCCAATGGGCTGGGGAATCGTGGAATTTTAGAGCTAGGAAAGGGTATAGCTTGATGTCATGGGCAAAGTTCTGAATTTAGAATCATAGTGGTCATAGATTTAGAGTTAGAAGGGACACAAGAGGCCATCAATTCCAATTCCTACATTTTACGAATGAGGAAACTGTGGCTGACGGTGGTTGAGTGACTTGTCCAAGGTCACACAGATAGTATACATGGGAGGTGGGATTCAAACCCAGGTCTTCTGCTTCCAGGACCAGTGTCTCTCTGCCTTACTAGGTCACTTTACAAGTCACTATCAAACTGGGCACTACAAGCCAGGTTTTCTGGCTCTAAATCCTCTGTTTCTCTTGCCCCCACACTATGCCGCTGCACAAAAGTAATGTGCACTTATAGCCGGAATAACCGAGACAGAGGTTCAAATCTTGGTTCAGCTGTTTAATCCATAAATAACTTTGGAGAATGCACGTCACTTCTCTGGTCCTCATGTGTAAAACAAGGGTGTTGGATTAGATGATCTCGGTCTAACTCAAAATAGGATAATTGATTATAAGCTGGAAGGGACCCTGGTATGATTGCTTCATTTTGCAGATGAAGAAACTGAAACCCAGAGTAGTAAGAGAAACTGCCTGAAGTTGCCCAAGTAGTAACAAATTCATGAATTTAGAGATGTAGTTGAGCTGTCATTTTTCAGACCAGAAACCAGAGAGGGGAAAGGACATGCCCATAATCTCTCATACCCCTAATTAGTGGCCCAGCTTGAAGGAGATCCCACATCTCCTTGACCGCTGTTCCTTCTAGGATCCGTTCCATGACTCCATTGCTCTTGGTGGAGGCTAAATTCACATGTTTGAGATTGGGATGAAATTAGCCCTAGGCATTCGCTTAGGGGCAAAACTCCACAAAATCTTTGTCCTCAATGTAGAAGTTTAATGGGGATGAGTGGGAACCCTGGAGATAACTTAAGACACTGAAGAGGATTATGGGCAGATGCATAAATGCTTCCTTTCCTCTATTAATAACTCAGGATTTCTGATCACTGAAGCATTTTTCTCCCTTGAATGCCAATCTTCCCCTTAGCATCTATGTCCTACCTTCTATGCCCTCACATCCCTGTTTTCCCTTTTCAAAGGTCCTATGACAGGAGACACTGGATTTTTTTTTTTAAATCACACAATAGAGACAATTCTAAAAGTGTATGTGTGGGGAAATAAAAATTTCTTTTCTTCCAGCAGTTTGATGCTGTCCTACTTCTGTTTTCAGGGGAGCAGAAGCAAAGAGATGAAAGTTCTTCTGTTACTGTGGCATTGACAGCTCCTGAGGAAGCTGCAGCCCAGCTCTCTGACAATTCCCCAGCCAAGCCCAAGTACAGCAACCAACACAGGCACTTTCATCCCTCATTACCCCAGTTAACTTCTGAGGAAGAAGAAATAAACAGGCTTGGAAGTGAAATAATTAAGCTGACAGAGGAACAGGCAGCTGAAGAACTGGAAGGGACCAGAAAAGGGAGATCCCAAGAGGGCCCAAGGAAGGGGACAGGCCTGTCCCAGATCAGAGGGACGTCCAAGCTGGAGACGCCTTTGTCTAGCCCTGATCCGTTTGGTTCCAGTGAGTCCTTGGGTTTGGGGAAGGAACAAGTCACCGAAGGCTGTGACCTGGAAGAGGAGAAAGGTGTCCCAGAGGGGAGCTGCTCAGGCATTGTGAAGACATGAAGGATAAAGGGATTGGAAATTGTAACACATGGAAGGCGCTGGGGACGACGAGAATTAAGGAACAACACATTAGAATTAACTCTCTCCTCAAATACTCCCAAGTCTGGGACTCAGAAAATCCTCTGATCCTGTTGCAAACTGTAGGTATTTTGATGACAGTACAGCTTGATTTATTAAATGCAGGTCCTCAATCTTCTCACCGTCATCTCTTACTACTGAAGATGTACTGCTGTGAACACGGGCAGGCACTGGAAATAGTGTGCACCATATGGCTGGTTTTTCCCATCCGTCTTTGTGTCGGCATTTGTTTTATTAGAGATAAGATGTTTTTCTATTAACGTTTAATGTTGTCGATCAAAATTATGGGAAGAGCTTGAAACTGATGGGCTTTTTAATCAGGTCCCCGGTATTTGTAATGATTAAGGCTGTTGGGAAGAGAGACATAATTGAGCATAATGGGTCCAAAGGGCCCACCGTGACACTTTGTCATGTCAAGGCCTTGTTGGGTGTCCTCCACAAGGATGCTCTTGGCACGGCGCCTCTAGCAATGTGTCACAGCTGGGAATGGTGGGTGGAGAAGGGCTTCGGCGGGCTTAGAGGGCTTGTTTTCCTATTCTGAATTCATACCTCTCTTTGGGATGCTTACGTTTTGGTAAATGATAATTATGCCAACTTAGGCATCGGTTAGTGCATTTTTAGTCCCAGGAGGGAAGCATGAAAGTCACAATACAGGGAAGGAAGGTCAAAGGTAGAGCCAGGGAAACATGATTCTCACCTTTCAAACTTCTCCATCTGTGTTATATTCTCATCCTTTTTGGCTCATCTGCTTTGTTGAGAAAAGACAAGAGCAAAGCTGTGTGATCCTGGGACAAATCACTTGACTTTTCCTTATCTGTAAAATGGCTGGGCAGACAAGTGCAGTGTCCTCTAAAGCCCCTTCTAGCTCTAAATCTGTGATCCCAGGATTCTACTTAGGACCCAGTTAGCTGCTTATGCAGCTGTGAAACTTGAACCCTGGGAAGAGAAGAGACACCTCCAGGATAAAGTTTATTCCCTCTAGGAAGGCCTGGGTGAGAAAAGATAGCATCTGCTTATGCTGTAGTATATAGGAAGCAGGTCACATACTCAAACAATGGAATTCCTCATGTCCCAGAGTCATTTCATTCCCCCCAGGAAGCTGAAAGTTCACCTGAAAGCCAGAGTCAGCCCCTGAGAAACCTCTTCAGAAGCTTGGATGAATAAGAGGAGCTCCCTAAATGCTTATGTTTTTATCTTCCTCCTAACCATCCTAAAAAGAGAATGTGCAGATTAAATTTATGATGCTAGCCGTGAAATCCAGAGCTATGTGGATGTGGTGGTCAGCTTGTCTTCCTGTCTCTGCTTCTGCCGAGTAATGAAGAGGACTGACTTCAGGTCCCAGGTCCACTTCCTGGGTATGTAACATAAGCAAGTCATGGTAATACTTACACAGCCTAATTCACAGAATTATTGGGAGATATGTGGCATGCCAACCTTAAAGCACTATAGAAATGGTCATTTATTATTTATTTCTCCCTTCCCTACATTTATGGCCAGTGACACTAGAGATAGGGTTAAGCCTTGGGCTTTTTTACCTACCCCATGAGAGGTTGGGTTGGTTGTTTTTTTGGGGAGGAATGCTAAATGGTCAGTAAGAAGACACCAGCCCAGTGAGGGCGTGAGAGTGGAAAGAGATGCAATAAGAGTGTGCTCAGTGACTACCTGCCTTCAATCCTGCCAGCCCCAGGGATTACTAACCCCTGCAGAGCCAGCGATCAGGTAATACTGCTGCTAGAGAGGAGAGCTATCACACACACACACACACACACACACACACACACACACACGCACGCCCTCTGCCTCACCCCACTGGGCCCCCATCCACACAACTTCCTGGGGAGGGAATTTGCCTCTGCAGCTGCAAAGCCTGCATGGGCCAGCAGCCACAGAGGTAATTTTCCTGCTGGACCCGGCCTTAACTGCCTGCAAATGTTCAGCTCTCCCAAGTAGCATTTTAAAGGCACTGAAGGAAAGCAGAGCCAAATTTAATAAAATAATAATAAAAAGAAAAGTCTCTCCTAGCCCAAGCTCCAGTTTTGACACACAGTCTGCCAGGTGCACATCTTTACAATCCATTTATAAACTCCTGGAAAACAGTTTATAATCTACTCCAACACATTGCGCTACAGTCGGAGAAGCTGAGAGGAATCCCAAGTATGAGAAGCCCTCAGTGGTGAACAGGCTGTGAATGGTGAAGGATGCTGTGTGTTACAATGACCTTGATGGCACTGGGGCCATGCTCCTGTTGGGTGCATTGCCATGACAATATTATGTATCCAGCTCCCTTACCTATCCCCAATTTGGTTTTCATGTTCCTAGACAGTAAAAAGAAAGGTTCAAACTTGCCTACACTTGGGCATTTTTTCCTCTTTTAAACCTTGTTCTAAAACCATGCCACACTGCTTTATTGGATCCACCCTATGTATTACCTTTGTCTGAAAAGCCAAAATATTGTGAGTTTCCTGGTTATTGATGTTTTGTTTTTTAAGAAAAATGTTGCTGCTTGGTCTTACCACCCAGCTGCATTCTGATATGCCCACTTTTGTCAGACAGAATGCTCCGGCCGCGTGTGGGTTGTTTCCTGTCTTTCCAGTACCGTCCAGGCACTGGAACAGGGCACACATGGAAGGATGCAACTGAAACTGATCCTTCTCATAATAAAAGCTGCTCCTTTGCTGTAATTGGCAGGCACCTGGCAGCCTTTAGGCACTGATTTCTACATGCAAGTATGTATGAGAGTTTGTGGTTCTTTAATTAAGGCCTGAGAAAATAGATCCTTTCCTTTAAAAAAGGGGGGGGAAGCTTTTCTCACCCCCTGAGACCCATTCCCATGCCACCCTTCCTTCCCCACCAAATTCTTCCCTGCCTCTCGCAAGTATTCCCTGAGGCTTTCTCTAGCCAGGAGGCACCCAGTGGCATTCAGCTTAGTCCCAGGGAAGTAGTATTAGATGCCTTTTCCCAGAGCTAGCCTTAGGCAAGATTGTGAAGGAGTGACATTTGTTTTTCCACTCTCCCCTGCTCTTCAGGTGTCCAATGAACACCCCACTTTCTAAAGTCCTTGGCAAAAAAAAATCTGATAGCAATCATTTACACTTTAGTATAAATATAATGCATGGTGTGGAGGGGAAAGCTTTTGTCCCTTATTCAAAGAATTTCAAGTATTCCTAAGGAAGCAGGGATGATGGCTGTGTGTGTGTGCATCTTAGGGAGATAATCTTTTTCTTCCCCATTCCAATCCAAAGCCAATCCAAATCTCACTTTAACAGCTGTGTCTAGGTAGAGTCATTACATCAAATGCTTCTAATTTTACAAAAAAGAAATCAAAACAAGTGTGTGTTTAAGTCCCAGTGACAAATGCAAATCTGAACTGAATGGGGCTCTCCAACAAGCTTTATTCTTCTCCTTGCTGGGATTTTGACTTGCTGTCTCTTTCTCTGATGTCTCATATTTTGTGAACTTTAAAGTGCCCAATGAATGCTGGCCATCATTATCGTCATCGTTGTCATCGTCATCACCTCTGGGACTAAAAATCTTGAAGACGTAATGCTGAATTGATAAGTCAGGAAAAGGGAAAGGAATGACTGGATAAGTTTGGCATTTTATTGTTCTACTTTGTATTATTATTGTGAGGGTGGGACCCAGACCTCCCCTCCAGAGCTTCTGGGCCCTGCCTAGCCAGCTTTTCATACCCTCTTTTCCACTCTTGAACATGAGACAGTTCCAGTTAGAAAACTCGATATCCAGCCGAAAGGCAGAGGCAACATTTTGAGGATCCCCAAACTCACAACACTTTTAGATACATGCAAATTTCCACGTGCTTTTCATTCCTGTTACCAAGTTATAAAGCAAAGAATCACTGGACAAAGAGAATTCCAAAGATCAGAGAGAGAGGTTTGGGAGACCAGTGGTGAATCTAATTAGAAATGAGAGAGAAGGAAAAAAAAATGAGAAGGTCCCCTCTCACAATGTTACAGCTGATCCAAAAAAAAAAAAAAACAAAAACAGAAAAAAGAAAAAATCTTAGTACAGCATGAAGGCAATTTAAAATGATAGATTTAGATATGCTGCCTTATTTTTCTTATCACTTCTTTCCTAAATGAGGGTTTTTTGATGTACAGGGCAATTTACAGAATACTGAAAAGTTTGACTTTCCCTAGTCTGTATGAATGCAGGAATATATTTTGGGATCTTAGCAGAGACCAATGATAACCTATTAAATTTAAAACAATTGGCTTTTTTTTTATTGGCTGCTGTTTTGTTTTATTTAAAGAAAGAAGTTCTATTTATTTTCAGACTTTGCTTTATTGGATTCTCTAATCACCATGCATCATAACTATATTTTTTGTTACCTGGAATAAAAATGGGGTAATTTTCCTGGTATAGATGATTAATTGTCTTTATTATGTGCGTCATTCTCCCTCTCCACCCTCACCACAGACTGAGCATTACTTCCAGCATATTGTAGCAATTTATCAGTTGCAATCTGTCACCTAAAATTATTTGATCATATGGTAGGCATGAAAAATATGGAGAATGTAAAGATTTTATGCATTCAGTCAAAATGCTTCAGATCTAAAATCAGATGGTTTATTTCCTGAAGTCTTTTTTCCCCTTTCAAGTTGACCAAAACGCTAGCTGATTTTCTCTATTTTCTTCTGCATATAGGCACTTCTGTATATATGCACTGAAAAGCTACACTAGGAAAAATTCACTGCAATTCAGAGAAAAGCTTATTCTAAGCATCTAAAGATAGCTTTTCTAATTATTGTCTACATTGTGTTTAAACTGTGCAAACTTGAACATTATTCTCACTTTACCAGCTGTGTCTAGGTAGAGTCATTACATCAAATGCTTCTAATTTTACAAAAAAAAAAACAAGTGTGTGTTTAAGTCCCAGTGACAAATGCAAACCCTATGAGTCAAATAGGCAAACTGATTAGCAAGCTGACTGCAAAGCCAAAACGGCTAATATCCTTAGATGAACAAAATGGATCTGAGAGAAGAGAGGAAGAAAAAAAAGCTTCCTAAGGCCAAATGGGGTCTAATGGACAGGCTTAGTGGTGCACAGACATTTTCAGTAGCATAGCCCAGCTGCCTGCCCACATCCCCCCACCCCCCATACACACACACACACACACACCCCACCACCACTGCTCCTATTGGAAAGGTAGCAGCTATATAACATATCTTAGGTCCGAGGAGAAAGCTGATGGGTATATACTTAGGGTGTCTCTTCTTTATCTAGGAGTCCCAGGTAGTTTTAAAAAAAAGAGAGTTGGGAACAATGGAAAAGGGAGATAAAAGAAGCAGTCTTTTCCCCAACCCTTCCCTTTCCCACCCCTAGAAAAAATCTGTGAGCTAAACAAAGCCATAACTAGGGTAGGGCAGTAGGATTTGGGGTTCCGCACATCCAAACCTGCAAGGTATACAAGTTCCCTAATTTCCCCATGCTTTGTTCTCCACTAGCCCTGTGAGGTATCATGCACCCCCTGTTCCCCCAGTGTGCTTTTCCCCACTGCTGTGCCCCCTTACATTTTATCTCTGCCCCTTCCTTTGAAGAGAGGGTTCAGGATCCTTCAGTGGCTCCACAGGAGCTGGAACCAGAATCTCTGGCACAGAGGCTGTACCATCTTCTGACACAGTTATACCCAGCTGGGGCAGATTGTCTCACTTTAAGCAGCAGCTAGGTGGTACAATGGATAAGAATGCCTGTCCAATGACAGGAAGACCCAAGTTCGAGTCTAACCTCAGACACTAGCTGTGTGACCCTGGGCAAGTCATTAAACCTTGGTTTCCCTTAGTTTCTTCAGTTTCAAGGTGGGGATAATAATCCTACCTTGCAGGGTTGCTTTGTGAGGATCAAATAAGATAATATTTGTAATAAGCACTTAGCACAGTGCCTGGCACATAGTAGGCACCATATAAATGCTTATCTCTTCCTCTTCCCCCCTTCTTCTGCACAACTACCTCCAGGTTGCCCTGAAAGTCAGGATTACTAGACCTTCAGAGGTAGCTAAATGTTGTATTGGCTAGAGCACTGGGCCTGGGGGCAGGAAAATCCAAGTTCAAATACTAGCCTGGATCACTGTGACCCTTGGTGAGTCACAACTCCTCTTGGCCTCAGTTTCCTTGCCTGTAAAACAGTTGCACCAACCTCCCAGAGTAATGTCCGGGTAAAATGAGATAAACCTTAAAGTTCTCTATGAACACTAGCCATTATCCTCACCATCATCATCACCTCTGAGACTAAAAATCTTCTTGAAGACATAAAGCTGAATAATAATTAAGGAAAAGGGAAGGAATGAATGAGTAAGTTTGGCATTTTCTTACTCTGCTTTCTGTGACCGTTCTGAGGATGGGGACCAGTCATACCATCCTTGACATTCCCAGACTGAAAAGCATCTAGTTTTTCTCTGAGTGCTAACTTGGTCCATAGCATGGAGTCAGGTCCAGTTCCAGTGCCAGTTCAAGCCAGTGAGAGCTGTCTGATGGAAGGAAATTAATTTCATGGCAAAGATCCTTCCTCTCCCACTGCCGTTTGGGTTCAATGAACCATTTTAAAATAACAAGTTCGAGTCAGAGGTAAAAATAACCACTGAGGACTGGGTGCTGGCTGGAGTTCAGTTTGACTCACAGCTCCCAGGTCAGTAGGAACTGGAGCAGCCTGAAACCAAGCAGTGAGAGACAGCCCAAGAAATGGTCCTTGCCTGAGGTAAATAGTCATTATCAGTATTTCTGTTTAATTAGAGTCAAAGGATACTGGCAAGAGGACAGCTCTTCTGCATATATAATCTAACTTGCAACAGGAAAACAACCCAGCAATGAAGCTGGGTCCAAATCAGCGCACCCTCTGCTCTCAGGTTTCTTACATTTGTACTTATTGTAGCATAACTTGAGAGGCAACATTGTCTTGTGAATAATAACCTATGTCATCTCTTGTCTCTGGTTCCCCTTTCTTTATTTCTTGGGCTTTGCGTAGAGCTTTCTTGTCCCACCTAGTTGGTAGCTTCCCATGTGACTGAATTAATGCAGCTGGCTCACCTCACTGTGCCTCTGCTTACCCATCCGTGAAAAGGGCCTGATAACACAGCTCTGCTGCACAGAGGCCAGAGGGGACAACTGATCAACTGGGGGAGGCTCTGTGACCCAGGAAATAGGATTTATTTGTTTGCTTGTTTGTTTATTTTTGAGGCAGTGGGGTAAAGTGACTTGCCCAGGGTCACACAGCTAGTAAGTGCCTGAGGCCAGATTTGAACTCATGAAGATGAGTCTTCCAGACGCAAGGGCCAGTGCTCTATCCACGGCACCACCTCGTGTCCCCAGGAAATAGGATTTAGAACTGGAAAAGATCTTAGAAGTCATCTCATCCAACTCCCTCATTTTGCAAATGAGAAAAAAAAATAGGCCTAGGGAGGTAAAAGACTTGCCCAAGGTAACAAGAGGCAGAGCTGGGATTTGAGCCCAAGTCTGGCATTCTCTCTGAGGCAGCCTACTCTCTGACCCCCTTATTTGAGATTGAGGATTTTGTCCAAGGCCACACATCATGTGGCTGTCAGGATCTGAACCCAAGTCCTCTGCCTCAGGTCTGCTAGGTGGCACCATTGTGCATAGAGTGCTGGCTGGGCCTGGAGTCAGGTAGACTCATCTTGAGTTCAGATCTGGATTTTGACACTTACCAGCTGTGGTGTGATCCTGAGCAAATCACTTAACTCTGGTTGTCTCAGTTTCCTCATCTATAAAACGAGCTGGAGAAGAAAATGGCCAATCACTCCAGTATCTTTGCCAAGAAAACCCCAAATGGGATCAGGAAGAATTGGACACAACTGAACAACCACCACCGTCTCTGTCTCCAAATCCCATGCCCTTTCCCCGTGGCATCTCAGTGGCCATCACCCTTCCATCTTATTCCCCTCACCTACTCCCATTGCAGTTTCAAGTGGCGGCTCTTAACTGTGCCATGACAAGATATGGTAAATCCACTCAAGTTTCTGAAAATTAGGGTGGACTGCTTGGGGGAGGAGAAATTTTGTTTGGAATACTATCTTCCTGAGGATCTGGTAAGGATCTTCGCTGTCTCCCAATGAAAGTAGTGATTAGGGGTGACTTTAAAAAATACAAAAAACAAACCTCAAACTATGTTGCAATATTGTGTTGAAGCTCCTTTATTACATGACACCTGAGCGCAGCTAAAGACCGAGCCTCATGCCAGCACTCTAAGCAGCCGGGGATGTTTGCCAGAGATGACTAACTTGACCGGGATGTGGATCAAGGGCCTGCAGGAACCCTTGCTTCAGGCAGTCTTACCCCCACGTTCTAGCCTCCTCTTTTTCCGTGAAGCATTGTCCAAGGCCTTCTTGTTCCAGAGCTCTGGCCCACAGATGCCAATGACACAGCAGGCGAGGCGCTTCCCAGCATTTCCATGCTCCAGGCTGCCCTTGTTGCCGCCTTTGCCAAGGTCATCCTCTTGCTCATGAACTACAATGGCCCTACCCAGGACAGAGTAGGGCCCGAAGAGAGAAGCTGAAACGTTGAATCGGAACTTTCTGATCTTGCCATCCTTCACGGGAAAGTTCCCAAAGTCCCCTGGGTGTTGGGGGTGGTTTACCTCATGTGGGTTATAGTGACCAGAGGTTCCATCACAGCCATTGCTGAGGTCTCCAAACTTGTGGATGTGAATAGCCCGGCAAGAGGCGTTCCTGTTATTTGTTGGAAATCCAGACAGATCAAAGAAGACATCCATCTTCCCATCTGGGTAGAGCTGTTTAAATAGGACCTGCCCGGTCACTTGGGATTTATTGGCCTCTAAAGTAGAAGAAGGCTTTACCTGGCAGTTGGCATAAACAGTGTGTTCATCTCTGCCTGAGGTGACTGGTTTCACATAGACAAGCCTATGCCACAGGTCACTGACTTTTTTCTGGATGTCATTGATCTGCTCTGCCCTCTTCAAGTTGGACTCCTCCCCAGCTAGTTCCATTGCACCATAGGACACGCAAGTGGCCAGGATGATGGTGGCACTCAGGACTGAAAGCATCATGAGGATGGCTGGGAACCTGCAAGGCACACAAGGGAGATGTCTAGCCACGTGGAGAGGAAGGAGATGGCAAAGTAAAACCATAGCATTTCAGACTAGAAAGGACCTTAGAGATTATCTAGTCTAATCTGTAAAATACAAACTCCTTTGGTGCTAAAAGCTATTCACAGCCCTCCTCCAACCTATCTGTCTAGAGTGACACGTTATTCCTCCCTTACACACACCCTCTATGTTTCAGCCAAACTGGTCTCCTTGTTTTCATACATGACATGCCATGTCTCATACCTCAGGGTTTTTGCACGGGCTATTTCTCACAATTAAAAGGCTTTCCCTCCTCTTCACCTCTTAGAACGTCTTGGGTCTCAGACCTATTGCTACATCCTACAAAAGACCTCTGTAGATTCCCCATTGATTAGTGTTTTGCCTCACTATGAGTTTGTGTTCATTTCTGATATATTTTGTGCTTATTTTTATTAATGTTGTCCCTCCCTTCTCCATTCCTGCCTCCATTTAGCTGCCCTTCCTCCCCTGGTAAAATGTAAGTTCCTTGAAGGCAGGCACTATTCTGGCTCTCTCTTGTAACCTCAGTGCCCAGCACAGTACCTGGCTCAGAGGAAATCTTTAATAAATTATCTTTGCTTTGAATTGGCTGACTCCCAGTAAGTCAGATCAAAGTTCTGAGTTGAGGACTACATGACACCTTGTGTTGTGATTTTCCCCTTTTGTGTATAGATAGGTCAGATGAATGCTCAATCCTTTAATACACTCTAAGTGCTTGGAGGGCTGAATCTCACAGAGCCTTGCATGGTGTCCTACCCATGGGAGGGGTTCAAGAAAGGTTTATTGTTGACAAAGAGACAGACTAGAAACAGTCCAATTGCTCCCCTTTCTCAGTCTCCCTACACTTTCACAGTGTGAAAGCATAATTTCTAATAGTCCCTTTAAACCCATGCTAGAAACTCTCAAGCAGGACATCAATAGTGCAAAATTTTTCTTTTAAAGAGAATTTAAATATTCTCTGAATCTTGCAATTTAAAGTCAGAAACCACTTCTCTTTCATCCCTTTACTTCTCTCCCGCCAACCCTTCCGTAGATTGAGAACTCTAAGGGACCTTAGAAGTCATGTAGTGCAATCCTCTCATTTTACAGATAGGAAAGCTGAGTCCCAGAAAAGGTTAAATGGTCGCACAAGTAGAAGTGACAGAGCTAGGATTTTAACCTGATTTCTTTGATTCCAGATCTAGCTGTCTTTTCCATTGAACCATGCTGCCTTCCCACTCTCCCTTTCCCAACGTCTTCAAAAATTAGATTGCAATCATCTTAAGTTAACTTTGTTTCTCAGAGTATCAAAAAGATGCTTCCTTCCACATTCCTCCCCATTCACACACACAGACACACACACACACATCTGCACAGATCCCTCTCATAAAGTCTTGTCTAAGGAAATATAAATTATCTGTAACTTACTATCTTTCCAGCTTTTTGGGTTCCTTCTCTCCTCTTACGGATCAATGTTTTTTCAAAACAGTGAAGGCTGAGCCACAACTCTGTGTCTGAGATCTAGGCTGAGTCTTACAGGGGACTGACAAGCTGTTTATAAAAGTTCAGGAATGACCAGCCCAGGGGAGTGGTCAGGAGGCAAAGCAGGGAAAGTATGTTTGAGCCAGTTTAAGGAAGGGCAGGCAACTCAAATCTGCTGCTGGCCGGTTTCCATTTGTTGGTCCCCTCTGCTCCCTCCCTAACTGCAACCCCACCTCCTATCCCCATTCCTCTGCTAAGAGCCTGTTTACCAAAAATCTTCCTTCTCATGGCCACTGGTTGGGACATCTACTGCCGGGGAGGCTGACCTTCAGTGCAAAGGGGGTAAAAATAGCAAAAGTGAAGTATGCTGCTCTGAGAAGTAGACAATAGTCTCTATTGAGTAGTCCTTTCCTTTCCACTAGATTCTTTAGTAGCTGAGTTATTTTTGTTGGATGTTGCTTCCTAATGTGGAAATGGGGATCTCAGGGTCTGTAGGTGACATTTTCTCGGATGCAATGGCCATATCACTTTAGAGAGATAATAAAAAAAGCATTAGCAGTGCTTTAAAAAGGAGGATAAAGGGCAGAGATTCAATGAGCCTTGTTTTCCCATTGAGGAGGCACCCTCAACCCCTCTCTTCTAACCTGCTCCAATCCCTTTTCCATCATAGGATTATGGGATTTTGAGCTGAAAATAACCTGTAGTACAAACCTTCCATTTTATAAATTACAAAACAGAGACATGAGGAGCTGAAATGAATTGTACAAGGTCACACAGATAATAGGTAGCAATGCTGGGATTTGAGCCCAGGTTGACTGAATCCAAAACTCATGTTCTTTCTACTGCTCAACTCTCCACATAAATGACTTTTTCTTTTCCATTCTGGAGTGTTTGGTTTGTGAATCAGCTCTGTTTGGATAATCACCCATGTTGTTTTAATCATTTTTTGATTGATGTTTATGATGTATATTTGCTGATTTCAAGGATACCTCAGCTGATTTTGCAGGGACTGTAGCACCCCCTCACCATTCCTGCTGGATGTTCCCATGGTAATGTGAAAATGAATAAGAAGGGGAGTTACATGAAGGAATTGCACTTCACTAACAGTTTATGGTTACCAAGTACTTTCTTCACAATCTTTTGATGTGGATGAAATATTATTCCTTCATTTTGCAGATGAGAAAAGTGAGAGCATTTAGGACTAGAACATGATGCCTAATATCACATTCTTCATACAGCTCAGAAAACCAGTCATTAAATTTTAGAGCCAAAAGAACCTTAGGGGAATGATTTAGAGCAACTCTTTCATTTTACAAATTGGTGAAATTATGACCTATTGTTAACTGTGTAGCTTTACCAAATGGTTTATGCCCTGGATACCATTTGTGACCATGGTCAGATCACTTACTTCCCTAGACATCTGTTTCTAACTTGTAAAACATGAGAGGGTTAGACCAGCCCAGCCCTGAGGTCTCAGTCTATGATCCTGTGCTGTTATAATTCTGGATACAGTGTTCTTTCTACCACCACCTCCTGTTGTCCACAGTTTATGGAACCTTAGTCCTTCATGGCACTAATTCTCAACCCAAGAAATGGGTTTATATCAGTGTCACTGAATGAACAGTTTTTCTTGATAGGATTGAAGCATCATCTTTACTGTAAAACATCAAGACAAGGTCTGCCAATAAGTTTATGAAATGACTCTAAAGGGACTTTCTTTCTCCATGATTCAGAGAACCCTTTGGCTATCTGGGAATTGCACAAAAAACTAACCAATAGCTAACAGCAATGAGACATATGAGGGTGGGAATGACAGTAGGAGGAAATTACATATTTTCTTGGTAAATCCCGGGGATTTCTTAAGCAAACCAAGGAAAACACATATAACCTTAGGGGAGCCAGATCTAGAAATAGTGTGTCCCAAAATTCTTAGTGTGATTTTAATAGATTTAAACTGTTCTAAAACTTTTGGGACACCCTGTATAACTTCAGATCTCATGCCTAACTTCTCTCTCTTCTATGTATTTTGTAACAGCTGGGGATAGATTTGGGTAGAGTTTATATAGGTTTATATACATGATAGTTTCCATTATAAAGATGAAAAAGTTATAGATGATAATCAAATAACAGATGATGTCAGGAGCATCACAGGTCAGCTGCACTTGGTTGATCATGGGAGGATAATAAATGAAAGCAGGATGCAAAAGCAATTGCTGTGTGGTGACCTGAAAGAAGACAGTCACATACCAGGTGTGCCCACAATATCCTTCAGAAACACACTCAAGTTGGGTTCTTCTCTGACTCCTGTTTTTCTCACTGATTCTCTCTCTTTCATGCCAAAATGATAGGACCTTTCCTGCTCCCAGTATTACAGAGTAGTAACAAGGGACTGGCAGGTCCACCTGAATTTGGGATTCAATTTAGTTATTTTTTCTAGAGATATTCCCTCCCCAAAGTCAGATTGGCAAGTCTCTAGATAGCATGGTCTGGGAGAAGGAACATTGAAATACTAGTCAGATCCAGTTTCTAATTCTGGCCTTGATATTCACTAGCTCTGTGACCATAAGCAAATCTATTCACTTCTCTGGGCTTTGGGGTAAATTTAGATGAGATTTAAACTTCTAAGATTATAGAAATAAATGCCAGTGACTATGGTCATATCTTCTGTCTGAAAACCCTTTGCCTGACACTCAGAGATTTCATGGTATGGAGAAAATACCACCTCCAAGTCCAAATACTGGAAAGGATCAGACTCATTCCTCCACTTAGCTAAAATGACCAGAAAGTTTGGCCTCAGAAATACCTCCAATGTATGTGTGCAAGAGGGAGAGCAGAGTATGGAAAGCAGGCTCTGAGAGGGAGGAGTATACTTGCTTGCATTTCCTGCTCCTAACATGTGATTCAGATGGAGTTCAAATGGGAAGAACATCAAAGAGGCATCATCAGCAGTGCTGCTTAGCAAAATGGAAGTGGGTCAAAGAGGAGAACAGAATGAATCCAACAACCACTTGACTAGCTCCATGCTTCTAAGGCTTCTCTTCCTTGCTAATGTCCATGTAGATGGCCCCAGACAGATTCTATTTGACTGGAGGCAGCCCCAGAAAGCTGCATGCATTTATTAGCCCTGGAAAAGTTACCTAGTTTCTCCTTTGCCTTAGCCCTTGTCTGTAAAGTAGGGATAAAAATGATGATGAGAATATAATAATAGCAATATTGGGATAATAATAGCTTACATGGTTCTATCACTTTGTAACTTACAAAATACTTCCCATTTATTGTTATATTTGTTCATCATCTCAACTTTTTGGATTAGAAAGTATAAATATTTCGTAAGCCCATCTGAGAGATGAGGAAAGAGAAACAAAAAAGGCCAGGGATCGTTGTCACACACCAAGTAAGTGGCTAAAGCAGAACTAGAACAAGAAGAATTCAGGTCTTCTTTCTCAAGTTCAGTATTCTTTTGTAAAGTGGGAACGATAAAAGTTCCTACCTTTCAGAGTTGTTGCGAGGAGATCATATTTGTAAAATATTTCACAACCCTTAAAGTACTTTATAAATGCTAGCTGTTATTATCATTATTATTATTATTGAAACTGTGGAGCATATGTAGACATTCTACAATTTTAGCTAGTTCTGGTATGTTAACAACACATTGAGGAAGATGCTCTTTGATTGTCTGGGGAGCCATTCAAATAGGCCAGGAAGCATCTGCCACAGCATCTTTTGTCTCCTTTACTCTTAGGGGAGCTTGGTCACTCTTGTCAACAGCAACTGGTGGGAGATCATGGGAGAGGCCTTGGGGGTGTCTCCTCCGCTGAGGTCATATGGCCAGGTGAATGGGCCTGGGTCTTAGCCTCTGCACTTGTTCTTTTCTGTTCTAGGTGAAGGCAGCTAAGTTTCCAGTTTTGTGAATTTCAAAAGGTCTAAAATGTGTCAAGGCATTGCCACATTCCAGAGACTGGGTTTTAGAGTCAGTATTATATTGATGCCTCAATGAACAAAGAGTGACCTATAAGAATAACCTTCAGGACCCCAACCCAGCTGAAGGTGATACAAAGACTCATCCAACAGTTATGCCAAATATGGACGTGAATTTGATGAAACCAATGCTCTATAGGAACTGAATTATGTCATGAGCCTGCCCTGCCCCACCCTGAGCATGAGGTGGTATACAGGAAAGCATGACCTGAAGGTATAAATGGAACATATTTGTGTGTTTGTTCTTGCTATATCTTTGAAGTAAATATCCTTTAGTCAAAGCTACTAGACATTATGTAATTAAATGGAAATAGAGTGCTAATTGTGGGTCCCTCAACACAGTTGTTGAGGGTTCAAGTTGATGGCAGTAGAGGAGGAATACCTCAGTCTCTCAGGGTACTCTGCAATCTTCATGGGCTGACTACATATATGTATTTATATAAATATATATCATATGTGTCATGTCTAAAAATTACAATAAAGCAAACCAAAAAAACATTAGAGGCAGCTGAACTCTGATTAATTATAATGAACAATTTTGGATCCAGAAAACAGAAGTTGTAACACTTATCTCTCCTGAAGATAGGGAGGTGGAAGTCTATGGATATGGAATGCTGCACACATCGGCATTGTCAGGCTCGCTTGCTTTTTTTTTTTAGCTGATTATATATAACTTTTTCTTTGTTACAAAGGAGGGTTCGATAACAGAGGGAAAAGAGTATGCTGAAAAATGACTTTTTAAAATAAAATAGTCATTACTTTTTTATGTCAAAAAAAGAGAAAGAAGAGAGAGGAGAAAGAAAGAGAGAGAAAAGAAGAAAGAAAGAAAGATAGAAAGAGAAGGAAAGAAAAGGAAGGAAGGAAAAGAGAGAAAGAGAGAGAAAGAAAGAAAGAAAGAAAGAAAGAAAGAAAGAAAGAAAGAAAGAAAGAAAGAAAGAAAGAAAGAAAGAAAGAAAGAAAGAAAGAAAGAAAGAAAGAAAGAAAGAAAGAAAGAAAGGAACTGTATCCCTGAATAAGACTAGAGAAAACAGATAATACAAAGAGCATGCAAATAGTGTTCTGGAGATAGTAAGGCAAACTTTCTGGAACCTAATACATTATATCTTCTTTGAAAGAGAATGGGTTCT